GGATTGCTGGGTCATAGGGAAGCTTCATGTTTAGCAGTTTGAGGAACCTCCAAACAGTTTTCCATAGTGGTTGTACTAGTTTGCATTCCCTGGTGCGTGATTTTTACAATTTAGTTTTTAGGTTATAAAATTTCCTGGTCATGTTGTGCCTACTTTAGAAAAGAATACTATCCAGAGAAGGCTGCCACGATCGATGGAGCTGAACCTCCTCCCCTTACCTAAGAGGATGAAAGTCTTCACATAAGAGGAAAGGTTCCTTCCTGGATGTTCTTCAGTTGCTGTTGTTGAATGGAAGTTAAATCTCGAGGAGAGGAGATAGTCATCTGCTAAGTGCTCTCAACCTGCATTGGTCTGCTCTGCTCTGCTCTGTTAGGTATTACAGGGGAGGGCTGGAGTTACACTTTAAGCTGCACTTCTCACACTGCCTTTCCAACTGGCTTCTAGGCAGGAATTCCAAGGGAAGAGATTGGAAGGCATGTATTTCTCTTGTTTAGTTTCCAACATTTCTGGCAACAGCAACAATGAAGGCGTCTGTGTCAACAGAGGTTCCAGCCTTGGTTTGAAACCAGAGACCCCCCACTTGGGGCTCTGATGCTCGAACCCAGAACCCAGATTGTGGGCAGTACCAGTGCAGCAGGTGGTGGGCATTTTACTGCCAGCCGCCCCACTGAGGCTCAGGCTGCAGGCAGGCCAGCAGGCAGCGGTGGCTCCCCTCCCATACCACCCCAGAGCATGTAGCCCCTGTTCAGGGTTGCAGGGAGGGGCATGGGGTCTCACTGAGCCAGCTTCCATACTGTGGCTCCCTCTAGCTGTGGGCAGTAGAGAGGCCTGTGGATTTGGTCCATTTGGTAGAATGGACTGATCAGGTGTGAACTATGAGCTGACTGGTAAATGGTTCAATCCGCCAAAGGATTAAAAACGGTCCAGTCAGCTTGGCAGGTGGGGGCCCCTGAAAGATGTAGGCTAGGAGTCAGCTTGGGGCTTTCAGATCTCAGATGCTCAGACTCTGACCCTTGAACAGACACTGTTCCTGGCCCCTGAAGAAAGAAGCAGCTTTGGGCAGCTGACCTCCAAGGATGGAAGGGAAGCCAAACGCTTCCCAGGGGCCAGACTGGCCGCACCTGGGAGCACCTCCAGCTGCGGTGAGTTGGATCCTCGCCCATTGCTTGCCAGCCATGAGCTCCAGGCCCTCGTTGGCAGGACTCCACCAACAGCTTTTTGTTCAGGTCACCCGGGATGCTGTTTGAGGTGAGACAGCCGGCCACTGTTGTCTTAGAGGCTCTTTGTTTTTCCTGTGTGGTAAGTAAACCCCATTGTTGTGTTCCATGAATCTCTGCTCAAAGGTGAGAACCAGGAACCCACGGATAGTGACCTGCTCTACTGGGCACTGTTCTTTTGATGCTATAGCCCTGAGGTGACCCTTCTAGAGCTCTCTTTTGGGATGAGCCGCATGTCTGCAGCAGATCTAGGTTTATAGCAAGGACCTCTCTAAAATCCCAGGGGCAAGGACAGGCCTGTGAGGCCCAGTGCAATAGTGCATTGGTGACTTCTGGTCTCTGGGTATCTGCCATTTTGCTCTTCCCACTCCCTTTTTCCATTTCCTTCTACCAGTTCTGCCATCGAGGTAACCAACCCTCTATTATTACTGGTAATACTTAGATGGGAAAAAGTACTCTGATTAAAGAGTACTTGTCTTTAGAGGTATGCATTGGATTATTTTCAGATGAAATACAAGACTGTTGAGTTCATTTATAGCTGACATATCTGAAATTTTTCTTAGGAACAATCTAGAGTGTGCTATGAGGGGTATACAGGTGAAACAAGATTGGTCATTACCTAGTAACTGTCAGATGACAATCAGTAGGTGACAGGTACATGCAAGTTCATTTCACCATTTAATTCATTTTACCATTGACTCTATGTGTTTCTTTCCACAATACAATATCAACTATTACCTTTCCTCACTGAAAACAAAAAACTCCCTCAGTTTGTAGCACCTTGAGTGATTTCTGTATTCCTGACTAGACCCTGGCTGATGAGTGCCTTATGCCTGAGATGAAACAACACTGAGTAAAACAAGGATGTGTGTATGTGTCTCAGAAAGCATGTGAGGGAAGGTTTTCCCTGGTGGCTCAATGGGTTAAAGTGCAGTACTGTGAAGTCCAATGTGACTGTCCACAGCCACTGCAGCACAAGTTCAATCCCCTGTCAGGGAGGTGACCCACATGGCACAGCAGGCTTCTCCTGTCCTGCCCGCTGCTCCCTTTAGCAGTGTACTTTGTCAATCTGCCTGTTCTGCTCCTCTCTGTCTCTGATGAATCCTCTCATCCCTCATACCTCTGGCCTGTACCCTGTTCTTATACGCATAAATGAATAAATCTTAAAAGAAAGAAAGAAAGAAAGAAAGAAAGCATGTGGAGGGAGAAGAGACAGAAGCTTCCCGCATTCCTGAGAAATAGACTATATTTAGCCATAAACGATGCCAGCAGATTTAGCTTGGAGATTTTCAGATACATGAGGAATAAACTGCTTTTTGTTTAAGTTAGTTTGCATTGGATTTCTGTAACTTACAGCAAAAGAACACTGACTACTGAGATCCTTAATAGAATGATCTCTACTGCTAGTCCAGCCCCCTTTAGGAGCTGACCAACTACCATTAGCACTATAATGCCATCATCTCAGTAATTATCACCTGACTCACTATCACCATGTCTAAAGTGGTTAACTCCCACTGGATACCTTCTTGTGCAAAGCTCTGGAACCTCATCTCAGTGCTGTACAGCAAAGGTGAGTAATATAGAGCCTCTTCCCTCACATGGCTCCTACTCTATTTGGGAGACTGTATGTAGTGCATCCATTTATCTATTTGAAGTATATACACACAGTTATGAGGTATATACCACACGAGAAAAACAGGTTCTAAACTAAGCAGAGGAAAACTAAATTCAACAGATGTCTAAAGGAGAATGGCTAACACCAACAGAAAAGCCTTCTGGTAGGAAAAGAGGGATCTGAGTTGACCATTGGAGTATGAGTGTGAATAGAGTCTAGCCACAGAGAGAATGCCATGCTTAGAAGTGCAGTCTCTGGAGTGAGTCAGAATTGGTTCAATCCTGGCTCTACCACTTACTAGTTTTACAACTCTAGGCAATATTCTCCTCTATAAAAGGTGGTAATAATAGGACACCTACTTCATGGGGTTGTTGTGAGGATTAAATGAGTCAGTTACATAAAGGGCTGACAACAGTGTCTGGCATCATAAGTCGTATGCATCATGCTGTTATTTTTAAGAGAGGAAAGGAGTAGATACTGGCCAGAAGGCAAAGGTACAGAATGGGTATATGCAAAACTTAGTAAGAGGGTGTGTGAAGGGGACCAGTCTGGCAAGGACAATAGCCACAACTTGGATAAACAGTGGCCAATCAGAGGTAGGGACTGCCAGGTACCTCTCCCTTCTGAGGCCGCTCCTGTCCTCGGGGGACCTGCTTCCATGACTGTCTTTCCTGGGAGCTTCGGCAGGTGGCTTTCAGCACTCACAGTCTGTCTTACAGCATTTCTAGGCTGCTGGGGACTATGCCTTGGATACTTGTATCCAGACAAAGGCTTATGAGGGAATACAAGAGACAGACTCTGGGATGTCAAACTTACTGCTCTGAGACAGCCAAACTGGCGGGCAAGGAGGTGAGCCCATTGCCTGTAAGCAGCAGGACGCGGAGGTGTGGCAAAATCCCCAGGTCACAGATGGCCTCTCCCGTCAGGCTGTTGAAGGAAAGGTCCAGGAACTGTGGTGCAAAGATACAAGATGCGAACAGAGGTTCTGTGCGTGACAATGGTGCTCGCAGATGCATGGAGCTAGCTGCTTTCTTCTTTACCTTCTTGGGAGCCCCATCACCCACAGAGTAAAGCCCTTCTGATTATCTGAGTTAACATTCAAGGCCTATTACAGTGGGTTCTCAGCTCAGTTGCCCTCCTGGACTCCAAAGCAAACCTTTGTGTCGCTGGTCTAGTGGCTTCTCCCTGTTCCACACCCACCACACCCAGAGTTCTCTGCTTTTCACTCAACCTGGAAGGTATCTCTCCAGTATCCAAACCCAAGTCCCAAAGGCCACAGCTCAAAAGCTGCCTCCTTAGATCTCACATACAGGGATGACACCCCTCTGACAGGGCAAAGAGAGAAGCCTTTAAAGGAGGACGATTTGGAGAGCTCGCTTGGATAACCCCATGTAAAGGTGGGAAAATGCTCTGCCTTGTACCCACATGTGGGCAGTCCCCAGACCTACAGGTTCTTCCTCTTTAAGATCTCTCATAGTTGTTCAAGTCAATCCATTCTTCACCCAGCAGCCAGGCCTAGTACACATAGGAAAGGGCACAAACTCCTTAGCAAGAATTCCAGTGCTCTCCATGGTCTCCCTTCTGCTACCTCTCCAATAACAGATGATATCACAGATTTTACCATGTCTCAACCTTCATTCCAACACACTGAGCTGATTCATCTGCATTCTTGCACAAGAGGTGGCAAACAAAGGCCTGTGAGCCAAATCAGCCTGCTGTCTACTTAGTATGGCCTGTGAGCTGAAATGGTTTTCAGATTTGGGGATGGCTGAGAAGAAAATCAGAAGAATAACATGTGGATAATTTGTGAAATTCAAATTTCAGCATCACAAAGCTTTATTGGGCCACGGCTATGCTCATTTGTCTACATAGCATCTCGGGCGGCGTTCCTCCGACCACAGCAGAGTGGGCGAGTGACGACAGGAGGACTAGTGGTGTCCACGTACACTGCAAGCACTGAAATATTTAACATCTGGTCCCTTTAGGAAACCTTTGCGACCCTTGTTCAAACTGCTTTGGCTAGTGCATGTTGGGTGCAAGTCTGTTTTCCAGAGAATTAAGGGCAGCTCAAAGACATGAATAACCTTAGAATCCCAGGTCACAGGAATTTCACAGTTGGTACAGAATTTATGGGGGGTGGGGGTGGGGGAGGGAGGTAGTGACGTGCTACAGAGGAGGGTATGACAGAGTAGTAGGCAGGACCAGACTATGGACAAAGCCTCCTGACTCAGGGAGGGCTGCAGGGCACCCCTTTCTAGACCGGTATGCAGAGAATCAAACCCTGGCACTGTTCAGTTTTCCTGAACTCCTGGAAAAGTCTACTCTGGAGGCAGCCTTTCTGGCAAACAAGGACAAAAGGTTCTGAACTTGGCTACTGCATCTGCTGAGTCACATCAAGTTTTATTACACATCAAAATATTATTACTGGGAGCTGCAAATTCAGGATCCTTGACAGGTTTATCCTTTTTCTCAGTGATCCCTTGCAAATCATACAGAGATGCAAACAAAATGACGGGCTGGGAGGTTTTCCTCATATTTATATTCTGCATCTTGACTTTGGTCTGCTCTCTTATGTAAATAAATGCCTTTGGATGAGATTGGATCTGCTGGATAAGCAGTCTTCATCTCAGATGCTATCAAACTATGAAGCAGCAGCTCCAGAAAGTCAATCATGATCAACCAGTAGATCATGGCTAGCCAGGGGCCAGAACCTTACTCAGAGCCCTTCCCATGGTCACTGACACTTGAGGCAGGGCCTTGAAAGGAGAGGGGTGAGGAAGACACGGCACAATACATGGAACGCAGGAATCAACAACTCCTTTTTAAAAAAATGAGTAAGACATAATAAGTGGAGTTCATAGCAACACACGCATCTAGCTCCCAAAGCTGTTGGTCAGAGGAATAGCTCCCCTGTGCGTCTAGAGCAGCTGGAATGGGTTTCTCATTATTTATACAAAAATCATATAAAAAAATGGATTTCCCCCCCACCTAGCATAGCATTGTATCAGCTGTTATAAGTCTTGCTCTCTCTTTTGCTGGCCTTTCAATAGCTTTAGTTCTCAGATGCGTCCAAGGAACCTCCTGTCTGAGACCACAGGAAATGCCTACTGTCTTCAACATGACTTGAAACCATGGAGAGGAGATACCGCCATGCTCAGCGAGCATGCTAAGAAGGCAAGGTCATACATTCTCGGATTGCTGTACCAGGCAGTTAAAACTTTTACATACTTTGGTATAGAACGGTCATCTATTCTGAAAAACTCATATTTGTGGAAGGTCTCTCTCTCGTTTGGGCAAGATGAGGGAAAGTGAGGCTTTTTGTGAAGAATGAATGACCCTGGATATTTACAGATCAAATAATTTAAGTTACCAGCTCTTTGGGGCTAACCCCATGGCTCATGACATGAGCTATTTTTCTGGGGTTTAAACGTGGGCACCGAGGCCCAGTGAACTATGTGGGTTGAGGGGCTGGAGTGGAGGGCATGGTGTGATTACAAACATGTGCAGAGGGGAGGTCCTATACCCCAAGAACATATACAGTTTTATAAATCAGTGTTATCTCAGTAAATATAATTTCAAAAATAGAAGTGTATTTATCTTGGGGCTGACATCCCTCAGGATAAGCCAACATAACCCAGAGAGGTTAATATATAGTTCACACACACCTGTGAACAAGGCAAGAGATGCCAGGGTCTCCATCAATGCAACTTTGAGGGCTTAACGTGGAACAAACCCCCTCAACCCCTCCACCCCCCCCACACACACACTAGGTCTCATCCATTCACCCACCCTCCCTCCAAACATTACTGAGGCCCAGTGCAGCTCTGTGCTGCTTCCTGGGGGCACAGAGGCAGCTGAGACTCTGCCCCTGCCCGCTGGAGCCCAGAGTGCAGTGGGCAGGATGGAGACCAGGCTTAGATGGATATGGAGGTGGATAGAGGACTAGCTAATGCAGTGAAAGAGGGAGGCATGAGAGGGCTGAGGAGCCCTCAGGGGCTCCTGACAGGCCACAGGTAGACACCAAGCACTCCCTACCTCCAACTTACTTCCAAGTACTTGAAGTCGCCATATTTCACGTAGACTGTTTTGATGCCATTAAATGCAAGTTCCAGTTCCTTTAAAGTTGGAAAAGTGTGAAATGCCTCTATAGGGGGGGACGGAAAGACAGAATCTGTAGCTCATGAAGGACTTAAAGATATTAACAATGGTTATTTACTGGATATCTGGGTTCCCAGGGGATTAGGACAGGCGTTATGGGAAGTGCTTTATATGCATGGCCTCTAAATCTCTTAACAACTCTGAAAAATGGGGATTCTACAGCTAAGAAATCTGAGACTCAGCCAGGCTAAGTGATTTCTTGGAAATAAACTGCCGTTTGGTGGAAGAGCCAAAGATGGAATCGAAGCTTTTTCAAATCTTAGGCCATTGAAAATTTTTTATTTCTAATTATAAAAGTGAAACATGCCCACCAAAAAATAAAATATATAGAAAAAGTTTCCTTTAAGTCCATTAATAAGGATAACTTAAAAGTTTCATGTTAAAAAAAAAACCCCAAGAACGTTCCATGTATAATACATATTTGTGTACTGAAACACACATTTCTTTTTTACAAGATTGGAAGCATACCACAAACACTGTGAATTTCTTCCCTTAACAGAATGACTTCAGTATCGTTCCATGTCAAACCACAGCAGTCTGCATTACAACTGAGCTATGTTCGATAACTGTCCTTGGTCACCATTCTCCTACCACTGGCTATTAGACTATCTGGACAAAATCTCAGGACATTTTTAGTATGAGAACTGGACCTTGGATTAGCTTTCTAGCCCAGTCTCTTTGGTAACCTGAAATGAATAGGATAGTAACTGTGTTACTAGGCAATACAGCTTGTGTAAAAATGACCCCAATTGCTAAATTGCATTTAACTAGGAGCAACTATAAATGCCCGACATACATCTGAAGGGGGTGACCATAACTTTGGGTTTGTCTGTGTGCAGCGACTCCAATATCCGATACCTGGAGAAGGTCTCCACAGGAATTTTAGGAGATGTGTGTATGGTGTGTTTCAGGGGATATTTGCTCTTGTGGAAGAAGAAATTTCTAAGCCAGGGTGGCTCCTGCATCCATCCACCCAAAGAGCGTGTCATTATCTTGCCACCTCGGGGCCCAGAGAGTGGGTCCTGGGGGGCTGGGGGGCTATCCTCATGAGGCCTCCATGTGGAATTAGTTTTCTAAATAAAAGTGGTGTCAAGTGTGGCCTTTCGTGGCCTTGTGAGTTGGAATATTCTGTAGAACCTAATAAGAGACTTTGGTAGGTATTTTGGGTAATTCCAGTGAATATCCCACACAGGAGTGTGTTTCTGTCGAGTAAGTTCCTGGAAGTGGAACTACTATATTAAAGACAAAGACTACTTAAGAGACATTGCCAAATTGCCTTTCAAAGATGGTGCATCCGCTTACCACACTTGGCCAACAGGATAAATGTCCAGTGCTGGCTGTCCTCAGGACTTCTCATTTTTGCCAACATGCATTAATTAGGCAGGAAACAGTATCTTGATACTGTTTCAATTAGCGAGATTGAGCATCTTTTCATATGTCCCTTTGCCTTTATATTTTAAACCCAACAGACCACACTGTTTCCTGCAGGGCAGGGACTTTTTCATATGCTTTTTTAAAAACACCTCTGGAACTCAATGCATTCAAAACCAAATTTCTCTAATTTCCCCCAAATCCTTCTCTCCTCTCCTGCTCTCCAAGTGAATTCCCGTGGTTGTTCCCTCTCCCCACATCTCCATTAATGACCAAGTTCTGTTATTTCTACCACCTCTAGCAACTCTCTCAACTCCCTTCACCCATTTCCATATTCCAGTTTAGGTTTCCCCTCTACTCGGAAAAACAAAACCTCCTCATCTCCCAGATTTCCTGGCTTCCATCTTTTTGTGTATAATCTACTCTCTTGCGGTCAACACTGAGTCTATCTATTTACAAGCCTTCCAAAGGTCACTTTTGCTTGCAGGATTAAATCCAAATCACACAGTGCCCATGATCATCAAGTTCCTGCCAGCCTTTCCAGCCTGGCTGGGAGGCTAGGATTACCCTGCACCCCTTGCAAGCACACAAAGCCTCTCCGGGGTCCCTAATCAGGCACCACTAGTCCACATCGGGTCCCTTGGCCGGAACTGCTGTTTACCTTCTAATTCCCATTCATTTGTTAGCTCTCAGCTTAGGTTTTCCTCTTTGCAGAAGTTTCTCCTGACATTCTGGTCCAGGTTAACATCTTGATTATATACTTGCATAGCGTTTTCTGTCCCCTCTCTCATTAAACTCACTGTCTCCCACCACAACCATCTGTGTGAGTCCATCTTTCACCAGATAGCTCACCTAGCAGGAGCAGGATCCCTTCACTTCTAAAAGTCAAGACTTCCTAGTCCTGATGACCAGCAGGGGTCGCTGTGAACTTGCTGAATAAATAAGGCTTTATGCGCCTACAAAGAGCTTTTAATGACTTAAAAACATTTTCATACACGTATCTCATCTAAGTCTGCAATGGACCCTGGCTTGGGGGAGGAAAACGGGAAAGGATAATCTCCATTTACAGATACAGAAGATACAGAATATGGAAGATAAAGATACAGAAACAGCAGGTGGCAAAGAAGTATTCTAAGAAGCAGTGCCAGCGCTAGATTGGGACCCACACCACTGTACCCCTAAAAAGAGATACATGGCCAATCATGGTTGGACGACAGACACCTCCTAACATGAGGGATCTGCTGTGCCAGCCAAGGGGTACAAGATAGTTTTGGGGAAGAAAAAACTTACCTAGAGGTAGCAGGTTTTCTGAGGCATTGATATAAATCACAGAATGGAAATGCTTGAAGTCCTTTTCCTTAGCCTGTGGGAAAGCATTTATTTGTAAAGAACATAAGATTAGTTCTCCGCTGAGACCTCTGCGAAGTTCCAGAACTGCTGTCAGAAGGACAAGGACCTCAGGGGTGAGACATATCCTTAGGGAAAGAAGCCATTAACCCTGTTAATTCTTCCAATCCATGAGCATGGGCTACCTTTCTTTTCCCTTGTGTCTTATTTACTTTTTAAATTTCATTTTTTATTTAACTGTATTTATTATTTTTTTTTACATCATTCTTCATTTTTCCATCTCAGTTGTGTGTCTTATTTCTTTCAACAATGTCTTAGAGTTTTTGTTGTATTGACCTTTCAGCTTTGTTAAATTAACTCCTATGTACATAATTCATTTTCATGTGATTATGAATGGGATTATTTTCTCTTTGAGTTTGCTGTTTGCATACAGGAACACAAGAGACATCTGCATATTGATTTTGTAGCCTGCCACTCTACTATACTGGGTTATTGTTTCACATAGCTTTTTAGTGGCATCTTTAAGATAGTCTATTTATATTACCATACTTTCTGCAGATAGTGGTAGTTATACCTCTTTTCCAATTTGGATTCCTTTTCCTTTCTCTTGACTAACTGTTCTAGCTAGAACTTCCAACACTACATTGAGTCACAGCGATGAGAATGGGCCTGTCTTATACCTGATCCCATGCAGGAAAAGTTTTGCTTCGGACCAGTTGGAATGTTGCTAGTTGTGGGTCTGCCATACATGGTCATTATTATACTGAGGTATGTCCCTTTTTCCCCATTTTACTGAGAGTTTTTAATCATAAATAAATGTTGGATCTTATCAAATGTTTTCTCTACATCTATCGATATGATCACAGGACTATTTTCCCCTCCTTGGACGATGTGATGAAATACATTAGTTGATTTACAAATGCTGAACCATTCTTGCATCTCTGGAATACATTCCAAAGGTGTATGTCTTTTGAATGAACACTTGAATTCAGTTTGCTAATATTTTGTTGAGGATTCTTGCATCTATGTTCCTAAGCGATTTGGGGCTGCAGTTTTCTTGTTCCTTTTTTGTAATCTTCGTATCTGTTTTTGATATCAGGGCAATGTAGGCCTCATAAAATATACCTGAGAGCATACCCATGTCTTTGATTTTTGGGGAGAGTCTGGATGGATAGGTATTGAAGGTTTGGTAGAACTCTTTACCAAAACCATCTGGTCTGGGCTTTTGGTTTTGGGAGACTTGATTATTATCTCAATTTCTTTGCTTATAACTAGTCTATTCAGGATTTTCTACTCATTCTTGATTCATTCTTAGGAGGTTGTTATGATTTTAAGAATTTGTCCATTTATTTTAGATTATCCAACCTGTTGACAATAAAATATGCACAAGTCTCTTATGATCCTTTGTATTTCTGTGTTATCTGTTGTAACTTCCCCTCTTTCATTTCTGAACTGTCAAAAGATAGCCCAAATCAAACCAAAGACTATTCTTTGAAAAAACAAAATAGACAAACCTCTAGTTGGCTCACTGAAAAAAAAAAGGAGGAGGACATACAAGTAAATAGAATAAAAAATGAAGAAGTTACCACACCTTAGAAATCATAAGAATCACTTTAGAATCTTAAGAGACGACTGTGAGTGTCAGGCAGCATGTTGGAAAAGAAAGAAATGTGGCCCATTATATAAGTCAGAACATCTACAAGTTAACATCAAACCGGTTTCTTGGGAGAATCACTGCCACTCCTGGCATTGACATCTGAGAGAAGTAGCTCACAGGGTTTTTTACTGGGAACTCGGAGTCATGCAGACCCTCGCAATGTTCTTTGGCCAATTCAAAGCCAGTTCCATCGGGCTGCTTCTTTAATTCACTTCACAAGAGACAGTGACATCACCAAATTACAATGGAGGTTTGTCTCCGAATATCGTTTCTACCTGGTCACTGAGACCTGGTCTGATCCTCCTGGCAACATACCCTTTCACAGCTGGATTTTCACTCCCAAGGACCCTGGAGTACAACCACCAGGCAACGAGGTGCTCATTCGCACACATCCCTGGCCGTACCTTGGAGAACTTCAGGCCGCTCACATTGATGTTGCATAATTCTGATGGCTTCTTCACACAATGGTGCTTCAGCTGAAACACAGTGCACAGAGTCAACTCTCAAGACCCTCACACCTTCCATCTAACTGACCAAGGCAACAAATGACTCCCCACTGTGGAAGACGGCTTGGTGTAACCAAAAGAACACAGGCATTGCTCTAAGCATGGAGAACCAATGGTTCTACTCAGAACCAAGCTGTTGTTTCAGTTTGACACTCAGTTCCCCATCCATAAGATGAGGATGGTGAACCTGGCTTTTTTGGGAACTCCTTGCTCTCAGTGGCTTTCTCTCTTTTCTAAGCCCCACTTCCTTTACTTGAGTGAAAAACAAAACAACCCTGTTTTTCTGGAACTTTATCTTCTATTCTCTTCTATTTTTATTTGGTGTTCTCATTGGGCAATCTCATACATCTGTCATAATTTCACTCACCAAATATTTACTGAGCACACTGGAGCCATGTATTAAACTTTCTCCTACTCATGGCTAACCCTAAAAATTATCTCTCATTTTAAGTGATGGAAGTAAGGGAAAGAGATAAAAATGTTAGAAGAATATTAAAATGTTAGAAGAAAATTTTACTTTGGAGCTTTTATTTCTGTTTAATCAAACCTCATTCCCTTTTGCTGTTAACCATTTATTTATAGCACCTGTTACGAGTGGGCATTGGGAAGACACTGAAGAAAAACCAGGAACATTCCATGCTTTCAAAGAACTTACAGCAAGCAAATATTTATAAATGTGATAAATACTTTAAAGGAGAAATCCAAAACACTGTAGGGGATGATATAACAGGAGGTCCTAACCCTAAGTTTGGAAGTGAAGAAATACTTAGGTAAGGAAGAAAATATTTCAGCGTACACCTAAGAGCTAAGTAGGAGTTTGTCCTACGAAAGTGGGTGGCAGAGGCTATGAAAGTTACCAAAGGGGGAGGTAGCAAGGTGTTTTTGAGAGGAAGAAAACCAAAATATGGCTAGGAAAGCAGTCAACAGATCATTTAGGTCCATGCTGTCTCTGTAAAGGGGTGTGAATTTTACCCCACAGCCAATAGAAAGCTGCAGATGAATTTTTGGCAGGGGGCTGATTGCAATTTTATAAAAATTGCTGTGTCTGATACACACAGAAAGGGTAAGAGGACAGGAGAGGGAACGGAGAGACCAATACCCGAACACTGTGCCTTACCTTTCCTGGGGTCACCGCTCTACTTGTCTACCTCCTCCTTGTTAAAGAACCCCAATGCGATTCAGACTTCTTCGGTGGATAAAGCCCCAGCTTAGAGCTGAGCCTCAGCTCCAAGGGATAAATCTTGACTTACTAAGTCAAACATGGCAGTTGAACATCTAGCCCAAGACTTGGGATATGTGATCTAGTTCTGACCACTGACACTTGTTTGGGGGCAGGGAGGAGGGCAGTTCTGAGAAGCTGTTACAAACAGATATAAGCTAGTGACAATTTCTTTTTTTCTACCTTTAATGTGACAGCTATCTAGAGATCATCAGTCTAAGAAGTTAACACACTGAAGATGGAAGACCAAGAAGATGAATGAAGTTGAGTCTTAGATGTCAATAAGCCAGTAAGTTAACCTACTCTAGAAGAGAAGTGAATCCGGTTTCTTTTTAAGCAATGAGAGCATCCTAGCTGGTTCAAACTAGTTATGAAGTTACCGAATTAGTGTGAAAAAAAAAAAACAAAAAACATGATGGCGGCCCAGATTTGGGTGGTGGCAATGAAGACAGATTGGACAACTGTTTTATAACAGTGGGTGGGGTGGTAGGGGCGGGGGTGGTATGGGAAAAGCAAGTGTCAAGAATAACCCCAGGTTACTGGCTTGGTGAGTGAGTGGATGGTAGTGCTGTCAGGGTAAACATGAGAAAGGAGGCATGTTAATGGACTGGTCATCACTAGGAGTTAATGGACTGGTCAATATGAAGTAGCAGTGAAATCTTTAAGTATAACTATCCAGTGGGTGGGGAGGTAGCCCAGCACTCTGAAAACCATCCTTGTCCCGTGCGAAGTGACAACTTGCATAATAGGTCTTGATTGACACGGGAACTGCTGATGGAAGCCACGAGGAAAGGAAGATCACTGTGGAAAGTGTTTCTGCTGCTCCTCTACTATTGGCTCAGTTTTCCTCACCCTCAGTGAGAAGTGGACATAATAATGAAAGAAATTCCACAGGACTCTGAAAAAACTTGCACCACCCATTTGAGATTGTGACACAACCAACTACCTCTTTTAAGTTTTCTTTCAACATCTTGTCTGGGAAGAAATGCATCTCCTGGGACTAAAGCAAAGCCTGGGTACACATGAGGCTACTAGATAATTCTAAGGAGGTTGTGAGAACTGGACTGCACATTAATAAGGGTTTACAAAATGTGTTCTTTGCAAAGTCTCTGGGGCATTGCGCAGAGAAGATGTGAAATCACTTGGCTGGTCTCCAGTTCAGCTACTCCAGTGCTCTTTGTAAAGCCTACCCCCAGGAGTTGGGGCAGTTCCCCGGCCCTTCAGTCACACACTAAAGTCAAAGGACAGAGGCTGTGGAAGGCGAGACCCTCCCAGTGTCCCCACTCCTGGAGAGGTCTCCCTACAGCCGAGCAGGACTCCTACGTCCCACCAGGTGCTGGAACGCAGTTACCGAAGGACTGTCCTTGCTCACCTGCCCCTATCTCTCCACCTCCATTAACAGCTTTATCTGAATAATGGAAGACATAGGCTTTGGAGTCAGGAGACCAGAGTTCCAATCTTGAGTAGTTCTAATTTGAAGAAAACAGAATCCTAATTACTAATGGTGGGACCCTGGCCAAGGCAAATTATACCTCAGGCCTCAGTTTCCCCATCTGCACAATGCCGGCAACGTTACAGGGATAACAATAATCCATCACACGAGATGGATGAAAAGAACAGTTTTACAGGTAAAGAAAGCTTTGGCTTTCATCCTCCTCACTGTACTCAATTTTCCAACAAAGAGGGGGTGGGTTGGGGACGGGTGTTACCAGAGCCCATCAGGGCAACCCCTTGCCCCATCTGGCATGACTGCTACTACCAGCCATTCCAGGATTCATTTACTCTCACCAGAAAAGCCCGGTCTAGGACATGTTCTCGAAGGTCTGCTTGGTTTTTCCGCCGAGACACTTTCTTTTCCGAGGTGTCAAAAGAAGTCTTCTCACTTTCTGGACTTTCAGCTTGTGCCTCAACCATAGCCTTGGGTTTCTTCTTGAAGTTACACTTCCGAGCTACTAACCAGTGTCCTCGGCCTGTTGATGAAATCATAACAGTGAGAAGGAACACACTCCTTCCAAGTCACAATCCCTGCAGTTACAGAACATACACTGGTAATACTAAACCTCTAACTAGCTCCTCAAGAGTCAATGTGCCCCAGCTATGGTGACATGGTGGAGGCGGTCTCTGTAACTGTCTCATTAATGGGTCCCCAAACCCAGTGAAGAACATGTTTCTGCCTCCACCTTACAGATTAAAAGGCTAAGGCTCAAAAATGGGGGGTGACTTGCCTATTCCTTCCTCCACACTTTGTCTCCAAATCTAGGTGTTTTCTCAAGATTTAAAGAGTTTCTTTTTCTGCAAAACCTTCCCTAACCACCCCTCACCCCCCGGCAGAGTTCATCACTCTTTTCTGTGCCAGCTATTTATTCCCCCATTTGCCACCGCTTGGGTAAAGCACAATGTGTGATGTAACTCCACAGGGTCCATTTTCTCAGACCTTAGCCTGAATTCCATCCTTTTAGAGGAAAGGTTGCATCAGGAGCTAAGCACAGGAAAAGAACAGTTGCCATTAAAAAGAATAAAAAAACGTGTTCACTGTAGAAAGAATCAGGAAATGTGTGTGAGCCAAAAATATCAATAGAATCTGTTTTCTCCAATACTGACAGTTTACTGCAATTCACTCACTGATACTGTAATTCTCTTAGTTGTTCACTTGATTATCTCTAGTTACCTGCTAGAGCAGTCCCTGTCCACCACCATCCATTGCGCCCTTTCTTGAGTATCTACTCTGCGCCTGGTGCTGAGGGTATGGGAATGAGTAAGACTGAAGCCCTGAGTCAGAAGAGTGCAAAAATATAAGAGGTGGTGTGGAAGCCCAGTGGGGAGAGCTGCCAGTGCAGAGCATGAGCTAGATCTAGTAAGTGGAAAGTTCACTAGGTGAAGATGGGAAAACCAAGCAGACTGGGCAGACGAGCACAGGAAGTACCCAGACGTCTAGAAGACTGACATCACACAGGACAGAAGACTGTGGGGACCAGGTCAGTGTCTCCTGGCTCCCCTGGCCCCCCTGGCCACTGCTGCCAATCCCGCCTCTTAGATCCAGCCCCTGCTGTGTCTCACATGAGCCATCTCCCATTGCCACTCTGTCCTGATACTGCAGGTGTCCACCTTCTGGGGCAAAGACTTTGGTTGTTCTTCTTTGTCCCATCCTATAGTCCCGACTCCTAGAGACTCTTAGGAAGGCAGAGTATGCCAGGATATGAATATGAGAGGAAAAAAGAGAATGAGGCTTGGAATTCAGGAGACTCGGATCAGTTGGAGCAGAAAAGACCTTGAGGGCTAGAATAAGAGCTCAGGTTTGAATTGGGGCAGGCTCTTAGCAAGAAGGGTACTGTGGGAAGGGTTTTGTTTTTTTTTTCCATCTGTAGTTTTTCACTTTGAAGTAAAAACAATAGAGTCCCAGTGCCACCTTCATTCATTTCCATGTTAACATTTTGTAACATTATAATTACAGTGACTAAACCAAGAAATTAACACTGTACAGTATTACTAACTCATATACAGCCCTTTGAATTTTGCCAGTTGTCTCACTAATGTTCTCTTTCAGTTCCAGGATCTAATCAAAAAGTCACCTACCCTCCTCTGGTATCCGAAGAAGATTTTTGGCTGGAAAGCAGTTGCTCAGGTAAGGTTTCCCATCATCCAGCTTGTAGATTCCTGATGCGGCCATCTCCCTGGCAGCGAGGCAAGGAAATCAAGGGAGCAGAAGAGTGAGGAGTTGATCCGCACCACAGTGCATCTTGTGGGCCCACTATAGGCTACACACAGCTACCCACGAGGCCCCCAAGGCCTCCTGCCCTGCTTGAGAAATGGCCTGGCCCTTGAAATGAAGAGGAAGGCAAGGCCTTGGGCCTTTCAAATCAACCCTAACTTACTAGAACACCAGCAAGAGCATCATGTTGGGGTTCAGACAGACCTGTTTTGGATCTTTGCCAATCACAGAGTGAGGAAAGAGAGCTAGGATCCAAGCCAGGTCTCTTTCCTCACTCTGTGACTGGCAAAGTTACTCTCTGACTAAGGCTCCGTTTCCTTATAGGTAAAATCAGGGTAATAATACCTACCTTAGGAATGAGATGATGGTCAAGCTAGAAAGGTACATATTAAGTGTTCACTAGAAATTTTCTTTGTTTTGACAGAGTTCAGAAAGAGGGGAGTTGAATTTTAGGTAGATTGATATACTTATAGTGAGATATGAATGGAATCAATAGGGCTACAGGGATGCACTCAGTTTTCTGATAGAAAGATACTGGTCCTCCCTGGTGGCATAACGGGTTAGGATGCAGCACTGCAAGCCAGCCACAGCCGCTTCAGTGAGGGTTTGATCCCGGCCCTAGAGGTGACCCACATGGTGCAGCAGGTGGTTTCTGTCCTCCCCACTGCTCCCCTCAGCAGTGTACTTCATCAATCTACCTGTTGTGCTCCCCACTCTGTCTCTGGTGAATCCTCTCACTGCCCCTGAACCTCTACTCTGTACTCAGTTCTGGGCAAATCTTAAAAATCTTTAAAAAATAAATAAATCTTAAAAAAAAAAAAAGATACACATTCCAAACAGAAACAAACAGAAAGGGTTCAGGACTGAGGGCATGGTGGTTGGCAATCTGGTACACTTAAAAAAAAAAAAAGAAAGAAAGAAAAAGACAGCCTGACTCAAGATGGGGAAACATGTATTTCTGGGAGTCCTGGACAGTAGGGTGCCTGTTCTGCAGGCCCTTCAGTGTCATGCTAGGAGTTCAGGCTTCACCTTGCAAGGATCTGAGCTGAGGAGAGCTATGACCCATGCTGAGCTTTAGAAAAAGAGGTCTGATAGGGATGCTAGGAGAAAAGGGATTCCACTGACTGATCACTGAATAGTGACAATTCTTAGAGATACTGTTCCAGTGTACTTTTCACTCTTTCACTGCTTTGTCTCCCTTCATGTCCCAGGTAGAATGCTGTGATGAGCCTTGGACTGGATTCCTACCGAGCATTGCCTAGGTCTGGCCTTGCAGACCCTGGCAGTACTAAGTCCTACCCCTTTCAGCTCCCATTAAGTTATTAAGTTCACACCATCATTTTCTATTCCTAAAACATTCATTTTCTATTCCCAAAGCTCACATTCAGTCTTCGCTGCTTTTGTTCTTGCTGTTCCATTACTTAAAATAGTCTTCTCCATCTGGTTGATTGCATTCTTTAAGATTCAGCTCAAATACCAAATCTTATAGGAATAAATCACTAATGAAAGATCCAAATTTCTTAAACCTGAGTTCTTAGAGAGCTGATATTTTTCTTAAAAAAGGATAGAGCTGAGGCATACCGTGGGAGAGAGAGGATCGGAACAGGGTAGGGGACAACACAAGGGGCTGTGGTGATGGGTCACAGATGCCATGGTGGTAGGGGAACTTCAGGGACGACACCTGAGGGGAAAAATCAGATACTGTCCAAAAATGAACAATGAAATAAGAAAATACTCCTAATTAAAAATAAAGGACTCAGCCATTCTCAAATCTGCTTTGGAACTGCTTCAGGCAATTTGGGGTGATAAAGGTTTGGAAACATGCAAACCCCTGGCAAGGTGATGGGATACTGTGGAAAAACTGTGGGACCCACAGGAAGGAGCAGAGAGTTGAACTAGGATCAGGTGTCCAGGGAAGATGTTACCTGCAAGTGGCGAGTTTGATGAGTGGGGTGGTGCAGAGGGGACGGGCAGAGACTCTGTAGACAGAAGGGTTAAATGTGAGCCTATTTCTACCATTAGGTTAAGTGGACTTGGTTAAATGCTTCCCTTCATGGCTCAGATTCCTCACATATGAAATGAGGATAAAAACCTGTGCCCCGGAAATTTTTTTTAGAATTAAATATGATAAATAGAAAGGGGAAAAAGCTTTTTTCTACCCCTCCCACAAAGCCTCTACTAAACTTCCAGTGGGAAATGCATGCAGCTTTTGCTAAACCCTGGGGAAGTTCTTTTATGGATAGAGTACTTTTTTCCACATAAAATTCCCAACAATCATGATGGCGTTCTTTTAATGGCCCATGAACATGTCCAATTTACTCTCTTGCATCTTTAGAAGGCTTACAGGAGACACCCAATAAACATGTTGGACCAAATGAAGGATATGATAGTATAAACTCCAGGGGCTCAAGGGCTTTTTTTTTCCCTCAAGATTTACTTATTTATGAATACAGAACTGAGGTACAAGCCAGAGGTGCAAGGGCGGTGAGAGGATTCACAAGAGACAGAGTGGGGAGCAGAACAGGCAGATTGACGAAGTACACTTCTGAGGGGAGCAGCAGGCGAGACAGGAGAGGTCTGCTGCGCCATGTTGGTCACTTCCCTGGCTGCAGATCAAACTCATGCTGAAGCAGCTACTTACTGCTAGCCTCCTAGTGCTGTGCTTTAACCCACTGCGCCACCAGGGAGGGTCCTCTGGGGAAGGTCCGCACAAGGGCTTTGAATGCATATATCTAATCTCCCTAATTAGACTCTAAGCTCCTCCAGAGGAAAGACTGCATCTAAGGTGTTCATTTTTTAATTCCCAGCACCTAGCATACAATAAATTTCATAACAGTGGAATGAATGAATGATACTGATATCTCCTTTGGTCCAACACAAGGCACTGAGAATTTCATGAACCCTAATCACCCTGGAAAGGCTTGGAAGTCCCTATGTGCTCCCATGACAACCTATACTTTTCCTATTGGAATATTGAATACTTTATTAAATTGTTTTGCTCCCAATTTCCCACTTACTATGAGGCACATGATATACCTTATTCACCTAAGTAATCTTCAAGCCTAGCACTAAAAATGCACTGGGAAGATGAATGGGTAGATAGCCAGATTGGGAAACATTAATAGTCATTCAATCTATCTTTCAAGAAATCTCTCTTATAACCAACCTGCCTATCTGCTACATGAGTAAGTAAACATCTGGAGAATGTTAGTTATGATGACTGCTGGAGAAGACACAGTAACTCACAGAGGACGGAGCCTTGCCTCTGGTCTGTGTAGTACTTACTTGATCTTTAACCTTGGGAAAGCCCCCTTGATTTCCTTCCTTTTTTGCTTCTTCACTTGTTTCTTCACCTGCAAAACAGACATTGCACTCCCTCTTAGCCTGCCATTCAGATATATATGCCTTCATATATTAATGTATACTATGGTGACCCTTCTGCTCTAAACTATACTGTACCTGGGGCCTAGAAAAATACCACAATCAAAGATCTCAGATAAAGATGTAGAGAAGAGAAGGAGACATAGACATATATAGGAAGGTGGAACAGATCATTTTTGACAGTGGGATGGGGCTAGAATGCTTAAATAATATTTGCAAATTAAAAACCAGTATGGAAAGGACGGTTTATGATTATTCACATAAATTTATACACAGTAAAAGTAGCAGAGGCAAAGTTGAAAGATAAACACAATCTGGGAAAAGATATTTGCTACGCATAACGCACAAAGGATGAATCACTCAGGTTTGTGGGGGGCATAGAAACATGAACACAACTAGTCATAGAAATTCACTTCCCTCTGAGAAATACTAGGTGATAAGGTGTAAATTTATAACTGATGGGCTAGTAAGGGCATATAAACCGCCTAGAAAGTAACCCTAGGAGAAATATGAATTTATCTATATGGTGGGAAAAACTAATTCCACGTTCCACACTAGCAGCTATATGTCTGGTTAGCTTCAGCTATTTTGGTCTCTATCTCAAACTTGAAGCAGATAACTCTCAGACTAACTGTAGTGTCTCTCAACTCACACACACACATACACACACGCACACAGGAATTCTCATCTGCATACATGTGCTGTTCCATTCCTTTGATCGATCACACTTTTGCTGCTCTTCTTTGTTTGTTTATATGGATAACTCTCCTCTAACTCTCCCCCCTCAGGCTGCTCCTCTTCTGTGCTACCACCTTAGGCCTACCTCCTAATGGTGGCACTGCCAAATTGTACTTTTCATCACTTATCCTAGGCTGCAAGTATCTCTAACACCAGACCTCTACCTTTTTCCTTTATCTCCAGGAAAAGGCACTAAACTGAACCAAACTGAACCAGGGAAACAACACTACAGGACCTCTTGCTTCTGTCTGAGAAAGGAGAAATCAGAAACAAGGAAGGTTTCACCGAGTAGATAGCTTGAAAAATGAGAAGTTATAATAAAAAATGAACACAAACAGCTATAGCAGTCCTCTTTGGATTGCTTCACAGAGGTGAAGAAACCTTGTCTAACAAACATTATTTAGTGGTAAGTATTTCACATGAATGTGAGCTTCATTGAGATAGCTATCTTGTCTATTTTACTTGGGGATACATCCTCAGTGATTAGAATAGTGACCACTACAGAGTAAGCACTGTATTTGTTCAATCATTTGAGTACTTATGAGGGGGGTCATGGGGGGTAAAAAACAAACAAGTGATACAATGTAATAGGGGAGCATAAAATACAATCCTATTTTGTGATAACTCCAAGTTACTAGAACAAAGGTTCCAGGAGAGTAGGAAACCTACTCTACACACACACAGTAATTCTTCTCATCTGCATACATGTGCTGTTCCATTCCTAACTGGCTTGATGCCCCTGTATCCCTTAGTACAGTCCAGCAATGTTGGTGCTTAAAAAATATTTGTGGGGGAAAATGGAAAAAAAAATGCAGACACTATTACATCTAAAACTGAAAAAGCAGGGAACATACCACAGGTTCGGGTGTGCAAAAACTGCTAGCTTCTAAATCAGGTTCTGATACACGCTATCTGGGCTTGGGTTAGCCCTTAGTTTCCTTATCTGACAGGGCTTGTAGGGGACTAAATTAAAGGATGAATATAAATGCATATAGGACACAGTCTGGCAGACAGAAGACACTCGGTAAATGTGAGTTCTCAATGACACGAAAACATTGCAAAATCTAAGATGACAATCATTGGAGAATAACCTGTAAGTCCTGTAACAGGACAAGAAAAGGATGAAAGACGAGTTCCTGCCACCTCTTCTACAGAAATTCTACAACAGGAACGGGGAGGACTCTCAGGCAAACTTAAGTGTCCGGTCGTACCTGCCTCCGGCGTCGCTTCCGCCTCCGAGGCGACCGTGGGGCCGTCGTCCCGAGCAGGCGGGATGCGCGCCTGCGACCCTCCCGGGGATCTCTAAGCCGCTCCACTGTGGCGCCTATCACTAGCTTCTCCACCCCTTAGTAACCGCGACGCGGCATTAGCAATGTAGGCGGCAACCGGCGACGAGAGCTTCTAATTACTACAAGTCCCAGCAAGCCCCGCGGCCACTTCCTCTGGTAATGTCACGTCAGCAATCCTCGACTTCGGATCCCGATAAACTCCGCGCGCCGCCTCACGCCGTCAGCGGCAGCCAATCGGCTTGGGACAAGTCGGAGGGGTGGGAGTCGCTGAGGCGGAGAAGATGGCGGCAGCGGGTGCACAAGGCGGGAGGACTGGTGGTGGCGGAGGTGGTGGTGGCGCCGGCGGTGGCTCCAGCTGCGGGACAAGCAGTAGCCGTAGCGGGTTGTTGGATAAGGTGAGGAGCCGGTTCTAGAGGATATATAGGGCCTGGAGAGGTCCCGGAGGGGCTTCGATGCAGCGAGTCCTCCTTCCCATCACGCCCCCGTTTTCTTCAGCTTCTTGAAGGGGGAGTATACCTAGCCTGGCCCGTTTTGAAATGCTGTAAGCTCCTGTAGTCCGTTCTCTCTCCCACCTCAAGCCCGTGCTTGTCTTTGGGTTTTTCTCCTTTGGGAAGTGTTCTAGGTCCTTAACGTTGGTTACCATAGCTGCTGATAAATTGGTTCCCACATTGCAACGTGAACATCTCTTTTCCTCTGTGGCGCCGGGACCTGTTACTGTTAAGTGCGTCCTTTTTACCGACTGGGAAAATCGAAGACCTTAAGAATGTAACCGGCTACTCAAAGTCGGTAACCACCGAACTCTTGGGCACTATTCCCCTTGCGTGTGCTGCATATGTCAAGTACTCGTTGACCTTCGTTTGCTTACTGAAAGGTCTAGGCGTTTTGTCACTGTATTCGAGGATCCGGAAATTATTATTTGAGAATTGGCCTTCCCTGCTGGGTCGACCAGAAGCCTTTAAGATTTTATCTATTTCCTTTCACCCTCCCTCTTCTTTTACTCTGCAATCAAGTGCACTCAGTGAATCGAATTCACGAGGCTGCTGATGTTGGCCTCTTCTGCCCCTCTAGCTTTTTTGAGTTTTGTGGGGGTTTTTTTGCCCTAGGAACAAGGACTTTTTAAAAAGAAGGATAAAAAAGAATTTGTGTCCGAGTTTACCCATATTGCCCTTTGCATAGCGTCTTGCAGAAAACCATTGGGTAAAGATCTAGGACCTTAGTGCCTTTGGCTGTGTGAATAAGCATATTCTCCCTATGTCTCCATCTGTAAGTTTCATACAGATTCTGCCTTCCAGCTGAGTAAGCACTTCATAGCCTCTGCTCATCCTAGCCCATTAACTGTTTTTGTTCTTCTCTCCATTTGGATTATCACCATTAAATAGGTATTCTGATAAGGTACTGATTATACTGGAAAGTATATGTTATCACTGTGTTACTGGAAAGACCTGGATTTGGGGATCATACTATTTGGGGTTTGAAGTAGCACTGTTAATTTAAAACTATGTGAGGTTGAAAAGTCAGTTAATTAAGCTTCCCTTAGGGTTTGGGGGAGATACAAATGAGATGATATATGTGAATGTTCTTTTTAACCTTTAGTATTTAATATAAACGTGTGATAGCAAAGAAATAAATCCAGATCCTACTATCAGCGTACTCAGTATAGCTAAGTATAGGAGATGCAGGACCAACATATTTAACAGAGAAGTACGTGATTTATTCCAATTATACTTTTGTGTAAGTAGATAGCTACATGTTTTCACACATAGCCATTTACTGATTTCCCTGACATTTAAGCAGTTACTTGCAGGTTGAGAACCATTGTCTTAGATGATTTTTTTTTAAAGATTTATTAATTTGTGCATACAGAACTGGGGTACAGGCCAGAGGTTCAGGGGCAGTGAGAGGATTCACCAGAGACAGTGGGGAGCAGAACAGGCAGATGAGTGAAGAACACTGCTGAGGGGAGCAGTGGGCGGGTCAGGAGAGGTCTGCCCGGGCTTATGGATCACCTCTGGGCGGGCGGGGATCGAACTCATGCTGAAGTGGCTTTAGCTTCTTAGTGCTGTGCTTTAACTTGCTGTGCACCAGGGAGGGCCTGTCTTAGATGATTTTTACGTCCCTTCTGGCTCTAACAATTTAAGTGTTTTTTTGTTGTTTGGGTTTTAATTTTTGTGTGTGTTTTAATCTATGCTGCTTAATCCGTAGTGGTTTCTCTAAATTGTTTGTAATGAAGAAAGCTTGAGGTTTATCTGTTCCAGTCTCCTCATTTTATAGACATGGACATGGTTGGACAAGCTGCAGCAGCTTTCCTAAGACCACTCGTGAATTAGCACACAAAAATTTTTTATGTTGAAGTAAAAAATAGCAAGTACTATAATAGTATTAGTTTGCAAGACATTGTCTTAAAAACACTACTTTGTTTCTTTAAACACAATTAAGGCAATGTCAGAACTGGGTCACAGGCACAAGTATACCATCTACAAGTCTTGCAATCTAAGCCATGAGCAAGGAAGTGAAAAGACAGTGCACAGAGGAACGAAAATATTTGTAAATCATACTTGATAATATATGTAGACTATGTAAAGAATCTTACAACTCAATAATAAAAAGACAGTCCACCATTAAAGAACAAAGTATATGAACAGAAAAGCTTCCCATTGAGGGTATCTAGGTGAGCAGTAAACACTTGAAAAGATATACAACATTATTAGTTGTTTTTATGTTCCTGATAGCCCCAAAGGTGCCAGGGTCAGCATCATTAGTTATTAGAGAAATTGATATCAGAACTACAGTAAGGAGGTAGCACTTTACACTCTCTAGGCTGGCCATATCCAAAAATCAAAAAAGTAACTGGTGTTGGTGAAGATAGGGATAAAATGGAGCCGTGACATTGCTACTGGGAATATAAAGTGATGCAAGTGCTTTGAAAGCAGGTAGTGACTTCCTCAGAAAATTAAACATAGTGTTACTATTTGTTTGGCTCAACATACTCCACTGCTAGGTGTAAACTTCACCAAACATTTTCAGTTTTGTTGGGTTTACATTTAGGAGTGGAATATGTAGCACTGTGATGGAATATTATTTGGTTATAAAAAGAAAGAAAGTACTGACAATTTGCAATATGAATGAACATTGAAGACTGCTGAATTAGAGCACCAGTCACAAAGGCCCCATATCGTCTCTGTTCATTTATATGAAGTATGGAATGGGCAAATCTGTACAGAGAAGAGCGGTAGTTGCCAGGGCTAGTGAGTTGGGGTGATGGGTGGGAATTTCTGCTTCTATGTCCTCGGTATCTTTTTGGGGTGATAAAAATAACATGAATTACATGGTGGATAGTGAACAACCTTCTGACTATACTGAGTAGCACTAAATTGTACATTTTTAATCGTGAGTTTTATGGCCTGTGAATTATATTTCAGTTTTAAAAACTTCATTCTTTCATCTTTATTGTCTTTATGGTATAACCTTTAAAGCTTCATTTTATTAGCATTTTGAACAGTTTATTCATCATGTAACACAGTTGTGTCACAGATGTTAATGAACACTATCTGTCTAGATTCCTTTTATCTGTGGCCTTTACCATTCCAGTGCTCTGACCTTATGTCAAACTTCAGTTGTTTTTCATATTATCAGATCTTTAAGTAGCATGACTCATTGATCACTTTTTTTTGGGAAATATTTTCTTTTTCTTTTTTTTTTTTATTTTTTATTTATTCATTCAGAACTGCGGTAGAGGCCAGACATGCAGGGGCGGCGAGAGGATTCACCAGAGACAGAGTGGGGAGCAGAACAGGCAGATTGATGAAGTACACTGCTGAGGGGAGCAGAGGGTGTGTCAGGAGAGGTCTGCCACGCCATGTGGGTCACCTCCCAAGTGGGGATTGAACTCACACTGAAGTGGCTGCGGCTCTTCAGTGCTGTGCTTTAACCTGTAGTGCCACCAGGCAGGGCCCTGGAGATATTTTCTTCAGATCATTTCTAGAACACTCCTTATCCCAGGACTCAGCTTGAGATATCTCACACCTACCTGTATACATACTCTTCCTTCTCAGGACATCTGGAGGTACCATAATTTGTTTAACACACTATAGATGAACGTTTAAGTTGTAGTTCTCTCTCTCTCTCTCTCTGTTTCTCTCGTATTCACTTTTCTCTAACAGTCTAACAACAGTTCCCCTAAGCACAGTCTTTGGGAATCTTTCTAAACCTTTATAATGAGGAAATTGGAACACGGTTTGTCAAGACTGTTCTTAATCTTAGTACTTAGTTTTTAATTTAAAATTTAAAATGTTCCTTCTAACTGATTATACTGTTTTCTACAGTTACTGCATAGTGGTTAAAATATAAAAGTTGCTCACTAACAAAGATATATTAAGGGAGATTCACCTCATTTTGATAGTGTCGAAAAGTTCATGGATGTGTATTTTCTGCGTTTTTTGGTCACAGAATGACAGGATGGACAAGTTGAACAAGTGAATTTCTTTTCTAGATGGGTAAAATGGAGATGGAATGCGTGAGTTCACACTACAGTCTGCAGCCTGTGTGAGTGTTCTAGGTTGGGCTTTGGTAATGTTTTGTCTTCTTAGCATGGAGACAGGTTACATTTGAGTACACCTGGTCTGCTTCAGTTTCATTTTTAACTATTTTGACTTCTAGCTGTTCAGTATGAGAAGACAGTAAACGTTTTGTATATTTGAGGCTATTCCTATGGAAATAAGTAGCTCATTTTATTTGAAGACATGTTATGAAGAGATGACATGTCTCTTAATGCACGACTCATCTACTTGTTTTACAGTGGAAGATCGATGACAAGCCTGTAAAAATTGACAAATGGGATGGATCAGCTGTGAAAAATTCTTTGGATGATTCTGCCAAAAAGGTACTGAGGGGTTTGAGAGCATGTATATTAACTGGCCATCTCCTTTTTCCTCTGTAGCTTTTCAGTGTTGGGAATTGAGCAAGAGATCAGTTTCTAAAACCACTAAGTATGGGAAGATGTGTTAAAGTGTAAATGTTCAAAGTCTCTTTGTTGAATTCCAAAGCTGATAGTCTCATGCTTTTGAGGTTAATTTGCCTAGAACATAGA